CTATTAGAGTGACGTCATCTCTGACCTCGAGTTCACGGTCAGTGTGAGAATCAGCAACGCAGACATTTATGAGTGTTCACATCACTGTAGTCATGGAAACGTTATTTCTGAATGTTCTCTGAACGGTCAAAACATCCAGCTTTTTTAAACATGTTAAAAACGTTTTCTTTAATGGAACATTCATTTCTTTAGTCTTTTTCAAACATTGTGATCGTTACTTTTGAATGTTCTCTGAACATTCTGAATTAAAAAAAAATTGAATGAACATTCTATTAACGTTACTGGAAGAATATTTGTTTGTGACTTTGACAGAACGTTAATGGCCGTTCACACAGAGGACGATAACTATAACGATAAAAAATATGGTTTTAAAAATAGTTTCAAATGTAAAAGAATAGCAGAGTCCACATCACAACTACTGTAATGATAACGGAATTACTTTCAGAACGATTTTTGTTTTCTAGAAGAAAAACGATAAAAAAACATTGACAGCCAATCAGAATCCACCCTGCTTTAGGAGATCGCGCATTTAAAGTGACAGGTGCACGAATATAATAAACATAATAATATCGCTGCTGTGGATGGAACAATTTGAAATTTACAGTGGAAACTATGCAGTGTTTTATTTTCACATTTGATTATTCATATTGGAATTTATTTAGTTGTCGTTATAGTTCGTGCTGGTGTGAACGGGACTTTAGCTTGGATTCTGCATCATTTTATTTTGGATTAATTGTGTTATAATTGTAGTTTCTTAACATTTCTGAAGTGGATGAAGTGTTTTGTCTGCTGGTCACGTGTGGTCTCTGGTCTGCGGAGGGTTTTCTCAAGCGCGCTCACATGTTTTTATTCATGCGCGCCCACGCGAACCATCTGAATTGTAACGCGCCTCTAGTCACCTTAGCAACACACACCCACTGCACAACACGTTCATCATCAACGTCATCAGCATCTTCATCTTGTTTATCAGCTTCACAATCACACACACACACACACACACACACACACACAATCACACACACTATCGACACACTGCAAAGCTGAAGGTTTAAACATTCTAGTGTTTCAATCATCCAGCAAATTAGTCTCGTACTGATCGATTAAACGAGCAACTACTTTTCATTTCCAGGAAAATGCTCAGAGACTAACACACACACACACACACACACACACACACACACACACACACACACACACACACACACACACACACACACACACACACACACACACACACACACACACACACACTATATAGCCTACTGTGGTCTCTGTGCACGAGGAGCTGCCGGTCATAATAAACGCATAAATTAGTGTTTCATATTTTTAGACTCAAGGCTAAATTGTGACAAACTTGCCGTATTAAAGTAATTGAAAATCATTTTTAGTTTAATTTAAGGAGTTTTAAATGGAGGGAGTCGAGTGTGAGTGTGTATGTGTATGTGTGTGTGTGTGTGAGTGAGAGAGAGAGAGCACACCTGTGGAATGAAGATGGAGTCACGTGCACAACCAGAACAACACACTCTTGTGTGATTTGTTTTATCATGAGATGATTTTCTATTTGCAGTGATCTATTATTGCCACTGCAGCGACATCTACAGGACACACACACACACACACACACACATACACACTCTCTCTCTCTCTCTCTCTCTCTCTCTCTCTCTCTCTCTCTCTCTCTCTCTCTCTCTCTCTCTCTCTCTCTCTCTCTCTCTCTCTCTCTCTCTCTCTCTCTCTCTCGCTTTCCCACTCACACACACACACACACACATACACACTCTCTCTCTCTCTCTCTCTCTCTCTCTGTCTCTCTCTCTCTCTCTCTCTCTTTCTCTCTCTCTCACTCACACACACACACTCACACACACACTCTCTCTCTCTCTCTCTCTCTCTCTCTCGCTTTCCCACTCACACACACACACACACACACACACACACACACACACACTCACACACACACTCTCTCTCTCTCTCTCTCTCTCTCTTTCTCTCTCTCTCTCTCACACACACACACACACACACACACTCTCTCTCTCTCTCTCTCTTTCTCTCTCTCTCTCTCTCTCACTCACACACACACACACACACACACACACACTCTCTCTCTCTCTCTGCAGCGACATCTACAGGTCACAGCTGATCATGACAGGTCGGGTTTCAGCGCATGCGCTTCTCAGTTTGACCGACGGGCGGCGCTGGAGAGTGACATTCATTTCCTTAAAAATAGGTTTTATAAAAAGTAACCAAACTTAAAATCAAACTTGTTAAATTAAAAAATATATATTTATTATTATTAAATTAACATATAATAATACGATTTTTGAACTGGCATCTTATGCCTTTGGTTTGATAATCAATGTTTTCAATCTTATTTTCTGTTAGATCAACAACTTCCAGCTTATAAAGCATAATTTCCTGTGAATATGTTTCGTAAGTAGATTTATTCATGAATTTTACATTTAAATGTATAAATATTTCTATCTCTGTCCCCAAACTCCACTTATGAATGAACATGTCAATAATAAACCTTACGGCCTGAACCTTAAACATTAGTTTTTATTAATTCAAGCAAACTGTTACAGTAAACCGTTACATACGTCACACAGTATACAGTATTTTAAATCATGTTTAATCTTTGTTTCTGAATCTCTTGGAACATAGAAACAGCGAGCGCTGGAGAAATGCAGGCAGAAGTAGTAACAGCACGAATACATTCAACTCATCAACATTTACACACACCATAAGGCCTAAGAAAGAGGAACACACACACTCAGCCTCGTCCACATCACCATCACACACCCTTCACACACACACACACACAGCGCTTCAGAACGGCACCATGTTTGGGCAAACTGTTGTTATTATTATTATTATTTGTTAATAAATTGCAATTTATAGGCCCGAGAAAAAGGCCACACCGGTTCAATGTTTCTATTTTCTGGACCTTTATGGGAAAGTGTCAATATTTTGATGAATCTCGTGAATGTCATATTTCACCCCGAAATACATGTTTAAACAAGGAAATTAAGACCATTTTAGGGACGCACACACACACACACACGCGCGCACAGACACGCTCACAGACACACACACACACACTCACAGAAGCACGCACGCACGCACGCACGCACACACACACACACACGCGCGCACAGACACGCTCACAGACACACACACACACACTCACAGAAGCACGCACGCACGCACGCACACACACACAGACACGCTCACAGACACACACACACACACGCTCACAGACACGCTCACAGACACACACACACACACACAGACACGCTCACAGACACACACACACACACGCTCACAGACACGCTCACAGACACACACACACACATACACGCTCACAGACACACACACACACACACACACATCCACGCTCACAGACACACACACACACATACACGCTCACAGACACACACACACACACACACACACACACTCACACACGCACACACACACACACATCCACGCTCACAGACACACACACACACACACACACATCCACGCTCACAGACACACACACACACATACACGCTCACAGACACACACACACACACACACACACTCACACACGCACACACACACACACACACACACACACATCCATGCTCACAGACACACACACACACACACACACACACACGCTCACACACACGCTCACAGACACACACACACACACACACACAGATATCAATAATGTAATTTATAATATTATTTTGAATGTATATTTAAATTGTGACTTAAATTTCTTGACGTTGAAATGTGTTTTGTCAAAATTCTATTACTGTAATGCAAAACAAAATGATGCATTGTCATGAAAATAACATCACAATGCAAAAAAATAAAAAAAAACAGTTTAATTTTTACGAATGCAAAAATCTCAGTATATTTTCCTTGATTGAGAGTGCGGAGTGAAATATGACCAGAACGAGAGATCTCACTCCTCCTCAAGCATTCCTTCGCTTCCTTTCACAGCCGCACAATGACATCCAACATCACATCTCTGACACGGAAGAACGCTTTCGATGATATTTAAAGTGTAACACACACTCCTGTCGGGACACACTCCTGTCGAGACACACTCCTGTCGGGACAACAGAACACCCACTGTGTTCATGTGGAGGATAAAGACAGACAAACTCGAATGAAAGAAGGATGACGGGTGAAAAACCCTTATTTCCGTTCATCAATTGCACAACAAGTGGAACGTGTGGTTAGAAAACATGAGAGCAAAGCATTCTGGGAGCCTGGAGCACAGCAGGGCTCATGTGTCCTGGACTGTGATTGGCTGATGGAACCGTTATTAGGAAGAAGGTTTACTGAGATCTGATGAGCGTTTTTACTCCTCCTTCCTAAAGTCTGTTTCTTCTCTCCATCCAGTCGACCTCTGTACTCCACTGCGATGCGACACACACACACACACACACACACACACACACTCACAGACACACACTCTCTCACTCTATCCAGTCGACCTCTGTACTCCACTGCGATGCGACACACACACACACACACACACTCACAGACACACACTCTCTCACTCTATCCAGTCGACCTCTGTACTCCACTGCGATGCGACACACACACACACACTCACAGACACACACACTCACAGACACACACACACACACACACTCACAGACACACATGCACACAGACACACACACACACTCACAGACACACACACTCACAGACACACACACACACGCACACACACACACACTCTCTCTCACTCCATCCAGTCAACCTCATCGGACTCGTCCTCGGAGTCGCTGTACTCCACTGCGATGTGATGGGACACACACACACACACACACACACACACACACACACTCACACAGACACACACACACACTCTCACTCCATCCAGTCGACCTCATCGAACTCGGACTCGTCCTCGGAGTCGCTGTACTCCACTGCGATGTGACGGGACACACACACACACACACACACACACACATACACACACACACACACACACACAGACACTCACACACACTCACACACACACACACACACACTCTCTCACTCCATCCAGTCGACCTCATCGAACTCGGACTCGTCCTCGGAGTCGCTGTACTCCACTGCGATGTGATGGGACACACACAGACACACACACACACACACACACTCACACAGACACACACACACTCTCACTCCATCCAGTCGACCTCATCGAACTCGGACTCGTCCTCGGAGTCGCTGTACTCCACTGCGATGTGACGGGACACACACACACACACACACACACACACACACACACACACACACACACACACACACTCACACAGACACACACACACACTCTCACTCCATCCAGTCAACCTCATCGAACTCGGACTCGTCCTCGGAGTCGCTGTACTCCACTGCGATGCGACGGGACAGGATAGTGGCCACGTCGTTCCCCACGCGCTCGTGTTTGGCCTCCTGTTCCCGCTGCTCCTCCACCTTCCTCAGCTGGATCCCTGACACACACACACACACACCGAGCTTCAATATAGAGCCTCAGCACAGCTACTAGTTCATCTACTTTTTAAAAATTAATTATACATTTTGAATTATGAATTTTTTGTTTAATTTAGTATAAATTTAATAATTTATAAAAAATTATATTAATTTATTACATGCATTTATTTATTGCATTCATATTTTTATTAATAATACATTATGATTAATGCTATTTCATTGTTTAATTTATTTATTATATTCAAAAGTGTTAAAAATATAATATTTTATTACTTGCATTTATTTATATTTTTATTAATTATACATTTTAGTTTTTAATTTATAAGTTGCACTTCATGCATTCACAAACTGTATTAATTATTATTATCTAATAATTATCTAATAAATAATTTACTATTATTTTTGTTATTATTATATATTATAATTTTTTATTATATATTAATTGACTAATTTCATATATTTAAAATTGTATTAATTATGTATTAATTATATTATTTGATTAATTGCATTTATTGCACTAATATTTTTTTTAAATTAGACTCATTTATTAATTATTTTCATATTTTTAATAATTATACATTTTAATTATATATTATTTACTAATTCAATTTACTTATTATATGTATAATTATATATTAATGCATTAATTGCATTAATATTTTAATTAATTAATTAATTAATTAATTAATTAATAGTAATTTAAAAAAAATATTTAATGTATTAATTATTTTCACATTTCTATTAATTATAGTTTTTAATGATATATTAATATATATATATATATATAAATATTATATATTAATTAAATGTATTGCATTAATATTGTTTCATTAATTATATATTTAAATTGTTTTACATATAATTAATTATATTGATTTATTATTAGCATTTTTATTGCATTCATATTTTTTCATTATATCTTTTTAATTATTTTAATTAATTAATTTTATTTATTAGGTTTTTTTTGTTTATTTACAATCATTGTTTGTCTTTTTTGAGTGTCGTGCTTCTTATTTGTCACATAATCACATCATAATCTCATGTATAAATCCATGTAGTAAATGGTGCGTAACTCCGCCTACCTTTACGGATGGCCTCCAATAGGACGCTGCGGGCGTCGCTGATTGGCGGCAGGTTTGAGGGGTTCCGCTTGACCTCGTGACCCGAGTGAGTGGGCGGCGACGAAACGGCCCCTGATGGGAAGGAAGGCATGGAGGGCGGGGCATATGATGTGCAGGGGGAGGAGCTTCTGTTTCCCAGGAGAGGAAGAGGAGGGGGAGGAGGGGGCGGCGGCAAAACCATCCCATCGCCACATGTGGGCGGAGCCTGCTGTCCGCGGGCGGGGGATGAGTGAAGGGGCGGAGCCACCGGAGGGGGGGCGGGGTGAAGGACACCCGGGGCGATCTGGAGGGGGGCGGGGGGAGGGGGGATGGCCGGGGGATGCTGGGAAGGTAAGGGAGGGATTGGAGGCGGGCCTGAACCTCGCATCCTTGAACCTGATTGGCTGGCTGGCAGAGGCGGCGGGGGAGGGGGTAAAGGGGGCGGGGCTGGGGGCGGGGCATTCGAGTTGAGGAAGACAGGAGTGCGAGCCGGAGACTGAGTGACGCTGTCGGAGAAACCTGAGCTGGAGCTGGAAGATAAAAAGATGGAAATGTGAGTTCTGATCCCAAACCTTGTGAAAAACATGTCACAATGCAAATAGTACGTATTTGTATGCTTGCTTTGCTATTAGCGTAGCATATTGTTAGCTTACAAACATGAAAATGTCAAACGTGGAATCTACACTTTTCAGCGACCTTTGTTCCAAGAGTGTTTTTCCCATAGGGATTTTAAAAAGTCTGAAAGTAAAAATCCAACTTTTAATGTTGTTTATACGTCTATTTTTAATATGCTTTAAGACAAACCATGTGTAAGTTCATAAGTCGACAGCATTGCTGAGTATTTTCTGCTTAAAACTGCAGTGAACCAAAGACAGTCTCAAAAACACGGTTTGAAATCGCTGGTGTTTCTGACGTCACAAACGACCTTGTAACCAATCAGATCAACGTGTGATCGTCAACCAGTGGATCTCTGAGCTGAGTGAGTGAGTGGAGGCGGGCTCATTTGCATATTCATAGAACCGCGCATACTAAATGAGGCAAGGGTGTCTTTTTGAATGAGTCATTGAATAGTTGGTTCACCCGATTGATTCGTTCAAACGGCTGATTCATTCAGGAATGAAGTAAATGGGTGCTTCTCAATATCCCTCCTCGTCTCCTCGATCCTCCGTCCTCCATCCTATGACCGATCGAGCTCAGCCATCTTGAAGGACATCTCAATTCTCTAATTGCACCGCGAGGAGGCGAGGATCGAGGAGGCTTCCAGAGGAGCTATGAGCGAGGATGCACAGTTGTATGCTTTGCGGAAGTGTTTTATGACTAAACGTGACGCACGTATAAATTCTCCTCCCCCTTCACGTCGGTCACAATCATTTTAAAGGGATAGTTCACTTTGGAATTAATTTTTGGTGTGTTTTAGCTTACCTCAAGGGCATCCAAGATGTTGGTGTCTTTGTTTCCGCAGTAGTTTCAATTTTGATATTTTTAGGTCAAACCGTTCTTGTCTGTCAGTCATATAATGCAGGTCTATGGTCATCACCTCAAAGAGCATGCACAGAGAAGTCCAAATTAAACATGATTTAATGACTCGTAAATGTAAGTACACATTGATGGCCTACGACACGAAACGAGCGGTTTGTGTGAGAAAACGAACAGTATTTATATCGTTGTTACCTCTTGTAAACACAGCCACGTCCAAGTGATCTGAGGGCGCGGGCGCTGCGGTCTGGAAGTGATCTCTCACGCGTGTACGTCACTCATACAATTGTTTTATTTGATTTTTAAAAAAATTGTTTTCTTTTACGACGGTTTAAACATCCCGGATAAGCGCAAATTAGTACCATTTTAAGTAGCTGTCTTACCTACAATCTCTGTTCTGTGTAAACAATGAGTGACACACGCGAGAGATCACTTCCAGACCGAAGCGCCCGCGCCCTCAGATCACTTGGACGTGGCTGTGTTTACAAGAGGTAAAAACGATATAAATACTGTTCGTTTTCTCACACAAACTGCTCGTTTCGTGTCTTAGGCCATCAATGTGTACTTACATTTACGAGTCATTAAATCATGTTTAATTTGGACTTCTCTGTGCTGCTCTTTGAGGTGATGACCATAGACCTGCATTATATGACTGACAGACAAGAACGGTTTGACCTAAAAATATCAAAATTGAAAATACTGTGGACACAAAGACACCTACATCTTGGATGCCCTTGAGGTAAGCTAAAACATACCAAAAATTAATTTCAAAGTGAACTATCCCTTTAAAGCAGCACTCAGTAAGAATTCCGTTTTTGTCAAACAGCGACCCCTAGAGTCGCTGTGGAGTACTTGTACTGTCGTGAATAGCACTCACGCAGAGATGGCTCGCACTCACGGCCGGATCCCCTCCCCCTGTACACCGGTACCTGTTCAGTAGGATGGACGCTGTAACGAGTGAAAATAAGGTATGGCCCCTTTAAGAGCTGCGCGCGCCCAACACCACATGTATACGGCGCCGGGTTATTTCTGTTTGATGCTCATTTTATCAGATCTGTTTTTTTGCCGTAAAGCAATTCGTTACCTCGCGAGACCTGATATCACACGATACTTCCTAACACTGAGGCCGGCGGCTCGCCGGCCCAAAGTTGCAAGGGTGGTTTTGCGGCTCACAGGCACCAGGGGGGTGCGAGACGACCACCATTCAACACGAAATCAGTAATATAAACATTACAATGACTCCAAAGCTGTTCGGTTAACCCTCTGGGGACCAGAGTGTTTTTGGGGCCCTTGGGATGTTTTGACATGCACTGACATTTGTGCTTTTTTCAGTTATTTATAAACATGTTAATGGCAAAGGTGTAAATTCACTCTATATAGCACAAACTTGGCTACCATGATGAGTGAGCAACATGTATGTACATGTTTGTATTTTTAATAGAATAATGTTTATGCGTGGTTATTGAAAAAAATAAAAATGAAAGTTGCTGAAATAAGACCACAAAACACATATTGATTATTTCTTCACAAGACTTTTGAAAATTGTATCACATAGCCTAGAATATTTGCTCCAAAACTATGTGAGAATCATCCTGACTACTCATTCAGATAAGTCAATAAAGTCTTTTACATTTTTAATGACGTGTTTTGTTTGAGAAAGCTTTATGCAGGAGGCGTGGTCTCTCATTAATATGTGTGGCATTCCACACCTGAGAAAGACAAAGACCCTCCCCATAATGGCCCTATTAGGTGCTATCAGGCCATATCATTACAGGAGCCTTGCACAAAGAATGAGGAGATTTAAAAAAGAATGGCTTTTAGATTGTTTGGATTTATAAATACAGGGTGCATAAGTCTGGACACTTCTATCACACACCCTTCACCATATAGACATGTTTTTATTTCAGTTCAAAGTTCAAAGTTAGAGTTGGAAACATCTTGAAAAGAAAATTGTCTTTCTCCATAAATGTCTTAGTTTGATCATACATATTTCAAAGTTGAGGATTCATTATTTTGATATAGCTTGAACAAACACTATAACATCTTAGTTGATTAGTTTATTGACAAAACATACTATATATTTAACATATGAGCAGAAACTCCTAAAAAAAGCTTATTTGATGTCTATTTTAGAGTAAAAACTTTATCCAAAACGAGTCAACGAAATGTTATTTAGTCTGTAACAGTGCGTATCTGTGCGTTCATTCATTCATTCATTCACACACACACACACACACACACACACACACACACACACACACACACACACACACACACACACACACACACACACACACACACACACAAACATGATTCACATTTAACAGTATGCTATTTTTCCGTTTACAGACACTACGTTATTCTATATCGCGATTAGAACAAAGCACTTGCAAAAAACACTTACTTCTCAGCTGAATCTGTTCATCCTCGCAGTGAAAATAAACCCAGTGGTAAATGTCCCAGGATTGTTCCTCATATAGCCGCGCAAGACGACAGTAGATTAATCTGACTAAAAAATAATGTGTGTTTTCAGAGTTTACGGGCGTTAACGCGTCTCAATGTGTTGCTTCACATATTTGCGTTTGAATAGCGCGTGCTCTCCGTGGGCGTGTCACATTACCAGAGATAATCAGCTGAGAGAACGATAATGAGACGGGCTGACACGTCTCTCTTTTTATATAGATGACATAAACGGAGAATATTAATTTTAGTTTTGAATCGGATCATTTAAAAGTACAAACTCAAACGATTTAAAAGATATATTGCTTATGGCTGGGTGAATAGTATTAGCTGAGTTGTGTTGAAGATTAGAGACGTGCTCCAGAAAAAAAGTTCACGGTGACTGAGAGGCAGAACGCACACCCTGTTTATTTTCTTTATTTTACAAAAGCACAATATTTTATTTCGATTGTATGTGGGCACATAAAAAAGTAGACATTTAACAGATTATTTTCTCATATTTCTTAACTCTATATGAACAGAAATGATGGTAGTACTTTAAGTCTATTTTTCTGCTATGTGAAAAAAAAACGACCAAAACGCGCCCGCGCGTTTCTGGTCCCCAGAGGGTTAAGGTAAAAAAAGTTACTTAGTTCACCTTTAAAATGATTGTGACCGACGTGAAGGGGGAGGAGAATTTATACTTTACCTTTGCAGTTTATATAAACCACACATCTCACATATTTCACCAGGGTATCTTGCTTTATTATTATTTATTACTAATTTCTTAAATAACCAAACTTCAACAACATAAGGGCAGATCCTTTGAGCGCAGGTGATGACGCAGTGAAGTGACGCTCGAGTGATCAAGTATTCCGAAGTATAAAAAAAAACTTTCATTCGATTCCTCTGTCCTCATTTTCTTTCCTTGCAGCCTTCCCTCGCGTCCTGCAGGGGGTGGAGCTGAGACGCGAGGAAAGGAAGCGAGGATGCACAAATAAGAATTGAGAAGCACCCCATGGCTCTCTTTATGAATGAGTCATTGAATCATTGGTTCACCCGATTGATTCGTTCAAACGGCTGATTCATTCAGAAGCGAAGCACGAAGCTTAACTATATCATGATATAAATATGAGACAAAAACTGATACAGGGACATTTTTGCCCTGATATCTTAAATTTAAGCGTTAAGTATAGTGTTATTTTTCCCCATAACTAATTATTTTAATTAATGCGTTAAATCGACAGCCCTAATATGTATATATATATATATATATACACTCACCTAAAGGATTATTAGGAACACCATACTAATACTGTGTTTGACCCCCTTTCGCCTTCAGAACTGCCTTAATTCTACGTGGCATTGATTCAACAAGGTGCTGAAAGTATTCTTTAGAAATGTTGGCCCATATTGATAGGATAGCATCTTGCAGATGATGGAGATTTGTGGGATGCACATCCAGGGCACGAAGCTCCCGTTCCACCACATCCCAAAGATGCTCTATTGGGTTGAGATCTGGTGACTGTGGGGGCCATTTTAGTACAGTGAACTCATTGTCATGTTCAAGAAACCAATTTGAAATGATTCGAGCTTTGTGACATGGTGCATTATCCTGCTGGAAGTAGCCGTCAGAGGATGGGTACATGGTGGCCATAAAGGGATGGACATGGTCAGAAACAATGCTCAGGTCGGCCGTGGCATTTAAACGATGCCCAATTGGCACTAAGGGGCCTAAAGTGTGCCAAGAAAACATCCCCCACACCATTACACCACCACCACCAGCCTGCACAGTGGTAACAAGGCATGATGGATCCATGTTCTCATGCTGTTTACGCCAAATTCTGACTCTACCATCTGAATGTCTCAACAGAAATCGAGACTCATCAGACCAGGCAACATTTTTCCAGTCTTCAACTGTCCAATTTTGGTGAGCTCTTGCAAATTGTAGCCTCTTTTTCCTATTTGTAGTGGAGATGAGTGGTACCCGGTGGGGTCTTC